GGGGTGCCAGGCCAGAAGCTCCCTGCAGCCGGGCGCCAGGGCCGGCTCACCCCCTGCTCTGGGCCCTTGGCCCGCAAGCCCTCCTCTGGAGGAGGCTTATTCCAAGTAGAAGGGGGAAGAGGGGGCGCAGAGAGGAAATATGCCTGTCCCGGGGGGCCTTTGGCGGGACAGCTGGGGAGGGGACGCAGGAACTGGGCCCTCATTCTCATCTGCCCCTGGAGCCAGCCCCTGAACACAGCCACAGGGGTGTAGACTCTCGGCTTCCCCCTCCCGGCATCCTGCTCCCCAGGGGGTGACTCCATACAGCACCTCTGGGGGGAGGGGGGCGGACCAGACTCAGAACATGTCAGGGGGCCTCCAGAGTCGCCCTGCAGAACCAAGAGAGTGGACACTGCCAAGTCCTGCCCCCTTGTGTGCGGCCTTACCCTGGTGGGTCATGGTACCGCTGAGCTCGATTGGGGTCACCACTAGCACCCATTTTAGCGTAGAGGAAGAGCTCAGAGAAGTTGAGTGAGTCTACTGGGAAAGAGCGTCCCGCTGCAGGGGAGCAGCCCAGCAAGCAATTGGGGCTCACACCTGGATGAGTTGATGCCCCTAGCCAGGTAGCCGACACAGAACATGGTGCTGGGGTGCAGCCCAGGCCCAGGGCCCTCGGCACCTGTCAGCGCTGAGCAGCAGCACCCGGGCCCCCCTCAGTCTCCTCTCCAGGCCCGTCTACAGGGAAAAGATGGAAGGGGGTTCAAGATTGGAGGGAAAAGCCTCCCCCTGCAATGAGGGTCCCCCCCATACCCTCCTTGACCGGCCCCCTTTGCAGGATCAGGCAGCATTTTGCTCAGGTGAGATGCTTTACCACCGGCCTTCCCTGAGGCCATCCCACAGGCCATGCCCACTCCTGCGGCCGCCCAGCCTTGGCCCGGCCCCAGACCTCCGAAGAGTGCCCCCAGCGCACGGCGCCGGTGGGGGGGCTCCCGGAACCCCTGAGGCAGGCACACAGGGGCGCGGCCCCCGCGGGGCTCACGGGTGTCCACAGGTGCACCAGGGCCAGGTCATTGTGGAAGGTCCGCGGGTCAAGCTGGGAAGGGCGGGCGCTCAGTCCGCGGGGCGTGGGGTGCTCTTCTCAGTTCCGAGGACCTAGGAGCTGCCCTCTCACCTTGGGGTGGGGCAAGATGCGGCTCACTGACAGCTCCGTGGCTTGCTTCCCGGGGCCCCTGGGCCGGCGCCACAGTCCACAGAAGCTGTTCGGGGCCCTGGCAGGGCAGTGGTGGGGGATCAGCCTGACCGTGAGGTGCCCAGGGGTCTCCGCTCTCCACTCAGGAGCACCCCCAGCGAGCCCGCACCCCGGCCTGTTTCCTCTCCCGGGGCATAGCTGGGGTGGGGGGTGAGTTGGGAGTGGGGAAGAGACGGCGGGAGCGGGTGGAAAGCTGGGGGCCGCGCGCGGGGTTGGGGGGGCAGTGCGGCCGGCTGAGCGCCGCCAGGGGGCAGCAGAGACCGGCTCTCGGGGCCGCCGCGTGCCAGCCGCCTGCTCCACCACCCAGAGACCTTGGACAAGTTGAACCCGTTGGGGATCAGGTGGGCAGGGCTCTCGGGGGGGCCCCACGAAGCAGTGCGGCCGCGAGCACCCAGACGCCGCAGCCTCGCCACCAGGGCCAGGGCCCCAGCCGCTGCGCTGCCCCCCACATGCGGCCCCCCACGATGCGGCCCTGAGCCTGTGCGCGTTGACAGAGCTGGGCGCCTCTCTCCATCGAGTCCTGGGGAGGTGGAAGTGGCTGGGACACATCCTGGCCACCCCCACCTCGGAGGCCCCTCCAGGTCTCAATCCTGGCTCCTCAAGACTTTCCAGCCCTCCCTGGCTCAGGGGGTCCCGGAGGAGTACTGGAGGCCTGGGGTGCCCAGGTCCTGCTGAGAAGCAGACCTCTGAGGCTCCTTGCCACCTGGTGCCCTTCCTCCACCTCAGACTCTCCCCCGTCTTTCCCCCTCCTTCCTCCCCCCACATCTCCCCAGCATGCAAGGTCTGTCTCGGCAGCCAGAAACTTCTCAAACAGGCCAGGCTGTCCTGCCCCTGGCCTTTGCAGGGCCCCTCAGAGGCACTGTGTGGGCTGCGCCCTACCCCCACCCCCCAGAGGGAGTGAGGCCCGAGGGTGCTGCCCCGGCAGGTGGCCCAGGGTCAGGCTCCCCTGGCAGGAGGCGCTGTGGCTGCCACAGCCTGGGCACTCACACAGCCTGTGTCCAGGGCCGCTCGCGCCCTCGCCCCCGGGCGCTGCGCTGGGCAGCCTGCAACGCCTTCGTCCCCTGCGTGGACAGGGCTGATGACATGGCCTGACGGTCACGTCGGTGGGGGGGACTTCGGTGGGGCGCCCTGCCTGGGGGCCCCAGGACAGCATGCGGGGCTCGGGATCAGCCTACAAATCTCTGCGATGCCACTGAGCTGGGAGGCGCCGCTCCTTCAGAACCTAGAGGGGCAGGCGGCCGAGAACTCAGCGGATTGACCAGAGCAGCTGGCGTCCAGTGGCCCACCTTTGGGCCCAGAGAGCCCTCTGCCTGGGCCCTCTGTCCCCCGAACCGAAACCTTCCCAGAGTGCCCCTTCCCTTCCTGCCTCCCACCGCTCTGCCCGAGTGGAAGCTCAGGTTCCCCTGGCCCGAGACAGACTTCCTCTGTGCCTCCCACCGGCCGCCCCCTCAGACCACCCCAGGCTCACCTTGCAGGGTGCCGGGGGCAGGTGCATGTACAGTGGGTGCCCATGGGTGAACCCCAGGTCCTGGAGACACAGCGGCAGCAGCACAGCCAGCAGCATGGAGACCCTGCTGCCCCACCCTGGGGCCCACCCTGTAGGCTCTTCCCGTCTGCCTGCTGCCCGCTGCTTTCTGCCCCTGAGCACTGGACTCCTGCCCCTCAGACCATCTGACCCTATGCTCTTACCTCCAATCCACCAGCTTCCTTGGGTTTGCACCTCCCCCGGCCCTTAGCTCCGGAGCTCACGGGCACATGAGGCTTGGGCACTCTATAGGGGTTGGGCTGGGGGCACAGAGGCAGGGAGCCAGGCTTGGGGCAGGGAACAGGCTCGTGGGCTTGACCCTCACCTTTGACCTCCTCACTGGTCAAAGGAGCCCTTGTTTCTGCAGCTTCATCAAAGGAGGCCAGGCAGAGGGGGGCTGGTGGGCAAGACTGGCCCCATCCCTGGGGGGCGGGGTCCCATGTGCCTAACTCCTCTCTGGAGGCAGATACTCCCGGATGGGGCAGGGCAAGGGGGACTCAGGGTCCCCGGAAGCCCCCTCCAGGAGGTGCCAGAGCTCCCGGCCCCTCCGCTCCTAATTGCTTGGCAGTGTCCCTGCCCAGTGTGGGCATTTCCAACGAAGATCAAAGCACCCTAATTAGTGCGTAATTGCCACACTGGGGCACTGGGGCGGGAAGCAGCACAGGCAGCGGAGCTGGGGTGGCCCGAGGGAAGCTGGGACATGACAGGGCCCGGGGCCGGGTTCCGGGAGCGCAGCCCCCCGCAGCTCTCCGGCCCAAATTATTCTCCGTGCTGTGGCCTGGGTCCGGCAGGAAGGAGTCTGGAGTCCCACGGGAAGGGCCGCCGTGGGCAGCTCTCCGGAAACCATATTCCCACCTGTGGCGGCAAAAGTCCTGCCTCTCAATTCCTGCTGGTGGTCACCTGCTGGTTGGTCTCAATTCCTGAGGTGGCGAGGGCCAGGCTGGTCTTTTCCCAAGCAGATTCAGGTAGGCTGTCACCTGGGAAGAGCTTGTCCTTTCTTCTCCAGCCCTGGTTCCTTCTGTTCAGGTAAATGAACCTCTGATGAGACCCATCCCCCTTCCCCTGCCACCCCCCAACCCCCCGCCACCCCACGCCAGAGCCCCAGACCTGCAGAGAGAGCGCAGGGCAGGAGGTCTGGGGCGGGATTTGCTGGCTGGGGTGTAGCGGGAATAGGCAGCTCAGGTTGGTCCTTCAGCCGCTGGGGCAGAGAACGCAGCATCTCTGTTCTTTCCCGAAGCTCTCCCCCCTCCGTGGCTGGGTTCACCACCCCGCGCCCCCCACCCCGCCCTCCACCTCTCTGGGGCCTGGCCACGAAGCGGTTCCCATCCTCGGGGCTGCGGTTCCCCACCCGGGGCGGGGCTGGCGTCCACGGGTGACATGCTGGTAGCTTGCAATCACCCAGGTGGGAGTATTCACAGCGTGGAAATCAGCAGAGGGCCAACTCAGAGCTCTATGTCCCGGGAAAGCCCGTCCACACGTGCTCCCCCAGCGACCCCTCACCTCCCAAGGTAAAACCTCTGAGTCAGGAGCCCATAAAAATTCGGCTTGGGGCCCTCCCTGGTGGCGCAGCGAGTTAAAGCACTGCACTGAGAAGCTAAAAAGCCACTTCCGGCATGAGTTCGATTCCCGCCTGCCCCGGAGGTGACCACATGGCGCGGCAGACCTCTCCTGTCCACTCGCTGCTCCCCTCAGCAGTGGACTTCCTCGATCTGCCTGTTCTGCTCCCCACTCTGTCTCTGGTGAAGCCTCTCACCGCCCCTGAGCCTCTGGCCTGTACCCCAGTTCTGTATGCACAAATAAATAAATCTTTAAAAAAAAAAAATTCGGCTTGAACTTGGACGGTGGGGTGGATTTCATAGGCTTCACTGGGGGTAGTCATCACCCCTCTGCACCCCGCTGGGGCCCGTGTCGAGCAGGGCTTGCCTGTCTTTTTCATCCAATCTCCAGGTTCTTGACTAGCTCACCAGGCCTGAGTTCATTTTGTGATAAAAGCAGAATTCTAAGGGATCAGGAGAAAGAGCATGCAAGCAGCAGCCCTCTGCCCTTGTCTTCTGGAGCCTTCTCCACAAAGGTTCCAGGCCCTTCCTCTGCTTGCTGTCAGCTGTTTCCGCGAATTCCTCCTAACGCCTTCCAAGTTTTGAAAGATTTATTTAATTTTACGCATACAGAACCGGGGTACAGAGGTGTGGGGCGGTGAGAGGATTCACCAGACACAGAGTGGGGAGCAGAACAGGCAGGTTGATGGGGGGGTCCACTGCTGAGGGAGCAGCGGGGAGACAGGAGGGGTCTGCGGCGCCCTGGGGGTCCCTCCCTGGCCGGGCTGGACTCCGCAGCCACCTGCTAGTGCTGCACTCTGACCGCCGTCCCCACGGAGGGCCCTGCCGCCCAAGTTCCCCTCGGCGTCACAGTCACACTTCCCGGCCTCCCTCTCAGAAGATGTCCCCTTATTGATACTGCCATTCTTCTTGCTTTCAGACCACTTGTTAACTTGAGGTGAGGCTGTCGTTCTAGAAAACTCTAAGAAAGGAAACAGGGAAAGTCCAGGACTCCAGGGTCTTCTTTTCCGGGGCTTGCCCTGAGCATTATGTCCCTGTATTTTCTTGTAAGATAAATTAAAATTAGATTTAATAAGTCGTGTTTAAAATATTCAGTCAGGCCCTTCCTGGTGTCGCAGCAGGTTAAAGCACAGCACTGAGAATCTAAAGTCGCTTCCGCCTGCCCCAGAGGTGACCCACAGGGCGCAGCAGACCTCTCCTGACCCGCCCGCTGCTCCCCTCAGCAGTGTACTTCGTCGATCTGCCTGTTCTGCTCCCCACTCTGTCTCTGGTGAAGCCTCTCACCACCCCTGAGCCTCTGGCCTGTACCCCAGTTCTGTATGCACAAATAAATAAATCTTTTTTTTTTTTTTAAATTCAGTCAGATCCTTCTTGTGGCAGGATAGCTGTCAGTTTGCCTCTCTAAACTTCTGTCTGCATCAGTGCTAAATAAGATTTCTGGAAATGGTGGTGATTCACTAATTATGGCTATTTCTGATAGCAAGCGAGATTTATTTTTATTTCATTTCACTTTTGACTTTCTTCTTTGTGATTTCCTGGGTTGCTTGAATTCTTTTAAGTCAGCAGGTAGCACTTATGCATATGCAAAACATCAAGATAAAAGAAAAATGCAGAGCATGCCCTAGAAAGCTTCACAAGGGCGGGCTGTATATTTCAGCCAGCAGAAGCTGGGTTCAGCACCGGTCAGTATAGGCCAGTGTGTTAAACCTCTATGATAACTGCTTTTTAAAGACTTATTTATGCATATAAGACCTGGGGTACAGGCCAGAGGTGTAGGGGCAGTAAGAAGACTCACTAGAGACAGAGTGGGGAGCACAACAGGCAGATGGACTGAAATCCACTGCTGAGGGGAGCAGCGGGCGGGTCAGGAGCCGTCTGCTGTGCCCTGGGGGCCCCTCCCTGGCCGGGAGTGGCTTTGGAGCTTCATAGTGCTTTGCGCCACCAGGGAGGGCCCTCCATGATAACCGTTTGAGGCAGGGATCATCAGGCCCATTTTACAGAAGAGGTCGACAAGGCCAGGCCCTCATCAGCAGAACAGGAAAGAGCAGAGCTTGAAAACAGCTGGGCCTGCTGCTGAAGACGGCGCCCTTGACCACAGCCCAGGCCTTGGGGGCTGTGCTGAGCAGCTCAGGGCTTGACCAAAGGTGCAGATTCTTCTGGAATCCGCTCCCTGGCGCGGTCAGGAGGGGAGCTGAGGCCTTTGATAGCTCTTGGGGCTGGGGTGAGGTCTGCAAATGGCAGACGAAGCTGGTGGGAAGGGCCGGGAGGAGCTGGAGGGAAGAAGACAGGAGAAAGCAGGGTTCCGATGCCACCCAAGTCCCTAGAGTCCGCCGTGCAGTCCCAGGTCGGCTGCATTCCCCACGGCCCTAAGCCTGGGAAGACCCTGCCGGCAACTCAGCCCCTCTCTCCTTTCTGAGCCCAGTTGCCAGACATGGAGTAGAAGGGCCCTGCCCGCTCCCCTCTGCAAGGCCTCACAGCTTCTAGCTGGCTAGTCCCCCTGCCCAGGGCTCCAGGCCTGAGCCGGCAGGGGCCTGGAGGGGGGGGAGCCGCAGCTGGGGGAGCCCATAACCCCTGGAGGTGCTTATGGAGGTGAGCAAGGCATAAACAAGGTGATCTGCCTGCTGCGCCACCCCCTCCGCGCACACACACTCACACACACACACACACACACAGAGTCTGGATATGCTGAAGCGCGGCCCATTTGCAGGGTAATGGCTTTGCGACAGCAGGAATTATCTGCAGCATTAGCGGCTGCCAGGCTGGGTTGGCCAGGTGGGGCAGGCTTGCAGGGAGAGCTCAGGCTGGGCCTGGGGGTGCCCAGAGAGAAGACAGGCGCCAGGCTGGGTCCTGGCCCCCCGGGGGTGCTGCAGGGCCGGCAGGCTCGGGTGGGGATGCAGCGAGCTCGCTGACCCCAAGGCCGGGCGGACGGCCCCCTCCTTCCGGCTCCAACCTGGTGAGTTTCGGTAGAGCAGGACCTAGCCCGGACCTGCAATCCTCCCCAGAGTGCCCTGCTCCTTCCTGCGCGGCCTCAGGGCTGCAGTCCTCCTCTTGGCCCAGGCCGCGGTAGCCTGCTTGCAGGGGGCAGCCGGTGCCGAGGGAGGCCACGTGTCGAGGGCGTGGTGACGGGCGGCCGGCGCCCATGGCTTCAGTTCATTGCTTCCCTCGGTGACTGTTGTGGGACTCGGGGCCAGGCTGCCCAGCAGTACCCAGAAGAAGGGGTCAGGAAGGAGGCCCCCTCCTTCCCCAGATCAGGGAAATGAAAAGAGCCAGTCTGGGCCCTCAGAAAGAGCCCCGAATGCCTGATTCAAGCCCAGGACGCCGGGCTGTTCGTGACCAGAGCCTCGAAGGTGCCACAAAGCCCGGGAGGAAAGGGGAGAAAGCTGGACCTGCCAGGCTGCTTAGGACGCTGAGGTGTTGGTGACGTGGGGGTGGGGTGGCCCTGGGATCCCCAGGGACCCAGAACAGGGACAGTAAAGCGGGGCT